CTCATTTCCTATTAATATATTGATCATTGATGATAATGAATCATTCGGTCTATGACAAATGAGAAACAATTCTAAAGTGGTTATATAGTTACTTTTGATATAAAAAAACAGAGGAAAGCAGAACATTTTCACATTGGAAAAGATTATCAAAACTATAGTTATTTTTACGTCAACTAACTAATTGTTCCTGTGTCACATTAAGACATTTCGAATTATACCCTTGCCAAAACAAAGACAGGTAGAAGTAGGCATAGAGCGACATGCATCAAAAGACAACAAACAAAACATTCCTATTTTTATTAAATAGATAATCAAATGACCTTCTGTTCCTGGGTAGACCTTGAAGCAGGGAGCATTGCCGTCAGTGGCTGACCCTTATGAAGCCTGACAGGTTGTGTGAGTGGAGGAGTCTGAGAGAGAGAAGGGCAGAGGGTGGCACATTGTTCAAAAGTCACAAAGCAGAAGAGTTTCACCAAAGCAACAACCTTATTAAATCTCTCTTTGATATTGAGTGAAACGGACTGATGGGATCAAAGGTATCATTGCGCCACATTCCTGCGTCTGATAGAGGTGTTTGAAAGGTCTTATTGAATAAACTTGTCAAGGATCTTTTCATTCATCGCTGCTTCGCATTTATTATGAACTCCCACGTTTGGCAACCTGAGTAAAGAATGCTGTTGTTCTGTATTCATTATTCAAAAATATAATTAAATACTTGAAGACAAATGGATTTCCAAGTACTTTTTTCATAAAACAAATTGGGAGTCTCATCAAAAACTCAATGAAACGATGTTGACAAGAGCAGTAGGGTTTCCAAGTGTGCCTTAGAGGGGCAAAGACTTTGCCTCAGTGGTGATTATTAATAAAACACTTCAGATGCTCCCATGCATAGCAGTGCTTCTCTTTTCTGAAGCAATCCTTCTCCACGATGCCAACTAGTGAGTTTGGTTCAAAAAAGCCACATGCAATCACAATGAAATGACACAGGGGAGGAAGTAGTTCAAGACAATAACCTATTTTTTAAGAGAGACCCTCACTGATAACTCTCAAACCCCTCCCGGTGGTATGATGAGGCATTGCAGGGGAAGACAACAATAACACAGAAGCACAAACAACCAACCCAGGCAGACACATACCACTGACTTAGACTTTACTCCGCTGATATGCTTTATTACCAGGGATGGGAATACATGTTACTTTATTTTATTCTAGGAAAGGTTCATTTAAAGAAGTTTTACTCAATAGCTACAAGTAGTTACTATATAGATAGGTCAGTTGAGAAGTAGCAGGATGGGTAAAGGGAAAAATAATAAGAAGATGGACTACTACACATAAGGTGAGTTCACATCATACCACAGAGCCCCTATTTTCAAACCAACAACATGTTACAGCAGGCACTTTGAAGCAGTGCATACAACTGACTAACAATTACACAGCTGTTTTAGTGTACTGCATACTTTTTAGAATTACCCAGAAGTGGTCAAATTACACAAAAACGAGAGAGAAAAAAACCACACTCAAATGACGAGATGAGGTGAAACAAGCATAATGAACCCACATTAAACAACGAGACACTTCTGAAACAACAGCAGAATAAATCATCACCAAGGCAGACAACACAGACATGTAGGACATTCAACTCCAAAGCAACTGAAGACGAAACATAACAACGCTAAGAGATACTGAACCTTTTTTAACCACGCACACAAACAAACAAACCAACGCACAAACAATACACAAACAAAACCCGCGACATTGCGTACTAACGTTGAATTCATTGCCAGAGTTAAACCCACTAATATTTTTTGTTGGCCCACTCACCTGCTTCAGGTGTTTTTGCTCGGTGAGATCCTCTTCAATCTGCTCCAGGTTACACTTTTCTGCTCGTGTATTCTCATGTCCACTCTGTCCCACCCATAGACTATATATATAAAGGTCCCACCGTACTCCTCAAAGTTTTCAAACATTTTTAACTGAAAAAATGACTTGCAGCCACATTTGAAGATTAAAAGTTCCTCAGTGAACCAAGAAATCCCCGCCGGAAGATCCGCCATTTTTATTTAGTCAGACCCGTCAGTGAACCCAGAGGTGAGGGTGCGTTTGATTTGTGGCATTTAGCTTGGATGGGTGGTGCATTAAACCAGTGAATAATTAAAATACATTTAGCCTTTTTCACCTCAATACACCTTATTTATTATAGACTGACTCCATTATTATAGCTACTATTGTTCATTATCTGATAAATATCAACAGGTAAACATGCCCTTTTAAGACATGTAAACATGCCCTTTTACTTTCCAGTGTCACCTTTTCGCATCTCTGTAATCCTGCAGCTGTAAACACACCAGCATCTTCTTCTCTGTTGCAGCAGCTGATTTGGCTCCTTTCTTTTATACAAAGGCCTAGTAGAATAATTTGGATTACAAATACTTAAATGTTAATACAATTACTGAAACATTTTTTTTTAAAGTATACAGAAAACAGCTCTGTTACAGCAACACGATTGTAATATGTTACTTCCACTATTCAAATATGTCTATCTCCTCTAGATGTTCCCTTTTTTGTCTCCAATTAAGTCCTTAATTGCTCTGGGTAATAAAGAGTCTCTTAATCCTGTGTCTGGTGATAAAACTCCAGCTGTCTGGAAGAGGCTGCCAACATGCAACAGTCACCAGCTCTGTTGTGCTACACATCATGTGTGTGTGTGTTTGCATGTGTGCATGCTTTCAAACTGCTGGCATCGTAATGAGGCCAAAGCTAATTCCAGCAGTTTTGATTCATTTGAGTTTTCATTGAAAGTCATACATGTTTTTTCTTTGTGTTTGCATAGTCTCAAACCATTAGAGGTTTACAGTTCATTTTAACACTTTTGCACCAACACAAAAATAGCCCATAGCCTTGTATTCTGACAAACTCTTCTACTCACTTTCTCCCCTCCTCTTATTTTAACTCTGTCCCCGTATTTTTCCTCTGCCCCAGTTTCTCTTATTCTGTGTTCTCTCCTGGGATTGACAGAGAATCAGTGAATCTGTGTCTGTGTTTACCAGCATTCAATCACAAACACCCCTTGTAGGTAGAGTGAATCCCCAGGAGAGGGCACTGTTTGGCAGCACTGCACCGCCGCTGTGTTTAAATCAGGCATCAAATGAGACTCCTTGGCTCTAAGCCAACATTTTTATTTTATCAGCACTTTTTTAAAGGTTTATCTTTGACATTTCTCCCTCTATCTGACAAGAGAGATATACAGGAACCACAGGGAGTGAGCAATGGGGATACGATGCAGCAAAACTCCCCGCCAGTGTTGAACCAGAGAAATGGTGATTACATGGTGAGAGACCTCCAAATCAGCCCACACTAAACTGTGTGTCCCAGCATGAACTCTGAATACTATGCTCTGAACTGTAAACACTGTGCACTACACATCATGTAAGACATTCCTCATATTCAATACTGTTATCACACATCCCTCTGTAAATTGTGCACCTTATTGTTCAATGGTAACTCTTTTAGGTACCACTTTACAATAAGACTACCCTTATACAGGGTTTACGAATAGTTCGTGATTAATTTATTAATTAGGTTTGAACACTTTATAAATCATTAATAAGCTTTTATAAGACATGAGATAAACAGGGCAACTGTGACCAGTTGCTTGCCAAATAGTGAGCCCACATTTATCTGTACTGCTAAGCCTTATTAGAAATGGTAGTAACTCATTAATAAATGGGAATGTGTTTTACACTTTACAATAAGGCTCCCATTTGGCAGTTATAAATGTTAGTAACTCGTAAATAAATGGTCATAAAGAGATGCCAAGAAACATCAAGATGGATGGGGGGAGATTCAACTTGGTGAACAAGATACCAAGGATGCTGGCTGATGAAGAAGACGAAGTAAGCTAGTGCCAATATAAGGCTTAGTCATCTTGCCAAATAGTGAGCCTGTGTTGATGCATGAAAATTATGTTGGAACTGTTTTATAAATGGCTCTTAATGATTAATAAAGTGTTTACAACCTAATTCATAACCTAATTATAAACCCTTTATGAATCCTTTATAAGGGTAGTAAGTGGTACCCTAATTGTACTTCCCTTTTTTGGTATGTATTTTTTGTAAACATTTATTTTTCTATTTTAATTATATTCAAACCAAAGCTAACCCCAAACCATTTGTCAAATGTGTTAACCTACTTGGCAATAAACTGGATGCAGATTCTGACATATGATGCTGTCTCATTGTGTAACTTTCTCATTTACACTGTGCATTGACATTCCGTTAATGATCCTGTTTGTTGTCGATGAGTGTTTTATTATGCAACATGAGAATCATTGGAAGACAGGGATATCTCTAAGTGGTTGGTCAATCACAACAGAGCCGACCAGCTAACCAATCAGAGCAGACTGGGTTCTGGTTTCAGACGAGCTTTTTGAACATTAATGCATGCAAACATGTCACAATAAGGGCACAACATCCAAATATCAACCTGTAAATTAGCATAACATGTCCTCTTTTTTATAAACTAAATATCTCAGTAGTTATTGTTTGCAAAGCACATGTGACTATCTCCCTGTAGGGGTATGTTTGGGGTTTCGGAAATTATATTTATAGTCTGCCGTATAACAGTAATCTATTAATTTGTCAGCTTGCAGTAATCATTCTTCCTGTTAATGAAAGCCATTCAAATATCCCTTCCTGAAGTGCTTCTAACTGTAAGTGGTGTTACTGATATGATGCTTCAGCAGTATTTAGCCAAATCAAATGAGTATCTGTTCACAGCAGCTTAGTTTGGAAACACTGAGAGGAAACACGTAGAGATACTAAAAAACGAGGCCCTTGATTTGATTAATACAGACTGTCACAAAATAAGTAACGAAGAGCGATGAATATGCCATTAATCTGACTATTATTGTGGATTTTTAGAGAGTAAGTACGTGATGCAGATGTTAAGAATTTCTGCAAAGAAATGGTCAGAGTTGGACACAAAAAAAAAAACATCCAAAAGGAAATCAATGTTTTTAATGTGCAGTGAGAAAGTAAGGGCAACTGATAATGATTGTGTTTCTATAAAGATAGACATTTCTTTCCAAGTGAAAATCGTGTTTATATATTTATATAAATATCTATATTATATATAGAATACATATCTATTTGCTATGCATACTCAAAAATCACACCTTCAAATATATTTAAAAAGTCTTTCAAAACACAAATGTATTCTTTTCTTTCCTTAAACATGAACTATCCATAGGACCCAAAGTAATTATCAGGATGGGAATAATATTATGTTTTACAAACCAAAACATTGAAAATGCTTTACTTTTGAATCTAGAACAGTAGAGGAATTTTTTTTTTCATGTGGGACTCAAAAGCCACCTCCACCTCTTTACAAACCAGGAACCACATTGCAAGTGTACAAAACCAGCATAACACTTATACACAAATCCCCTTCCTGTGGTAGATGAAATGCAAATAAGTATGACTTCTCAAGCAAACTCTTTTCTGTTATAAAAATAGATTTCTTTTTTAAATAATCTACAGATTTCCTTTTAAGGTGAGGCATTTCACTATCACTCTAAAACAGCAAGGCCGTTTGTTTCAATAGAAAATATGAAGCTTCAGAGAGAGATCTGCCAGTCTGTCCGTCCGTCCGATTGGAGAGGACTAGCCCCGCCCTCAAATCGCTCGTCCGTTTCGGTCCCACAGGACGGTTTATTTTTGCCAGCTCCTCCTTCTTTTTGCATATTCTATGATTTTTTAAAAGAGAGTTTCCTTTCAAACTAGATACACCTTTTACAGGTAAACAAAAAGAAGTTTCAGCTCATTGAAGCTCCTGAAATGTCCAGGCAATTTCCGAAAGTGTTAAAAATGTTCTCTTAACCTACACAAAGATTTAAAAACAAACAACATAACAGCGCAGGTACACGACATACTGGCTTTCCAAACAAGCGTGTTGAGATAAGATTAAAAAACAAACAAAAAAGAGGAAAACAATAACAAATATACAAATCTGTATAACAAGTTAAAGCAAAGTCCTACAGTAGAGAAGGCAACAAACATGAGTGAATTAAACAAAAACAGGAAAACACAGATGCTACAAATAAATCGAAATATATGTACAAGACCCTGTTTTCCTTTTGTTTGTGTGTATGCACATTTGTGTGTGTGTGTGAATGCGAGTGTGTGCACAATTGCCATAGAGTGTAAGTTCTTTAATGTGAAGTTCTTGCAAGTCCGTATCTTGCTCCTAGATGAAACAGTGTTTTCATTATACCTCCTGTAGTTCCACATAGAAAACATCCTTTGTAACAGAGGCGCTGTCCACTTGCAAAAGAACAAGGGGAAACTGTTCAAAAACGTCATGTAGCTCCATCGCTTGCTTCCAACGCTTGGAACCAGATGGATCCAAAAGACCTTGCACCGTTATCACGACCATAAACTGTTCCTCCCAGACTGAGCCTCTCCTCGCCTGGCTCCTCCTGCATCAGACGCCCGTTCATCACTACCAGATGACGCTGGAGATGCTGGTTTCTCTCGGCAGCAGGGGCAGCATGGCGTTGTTGGCGTGCGCCTCCTCCAGGCTGTGCTCCCGGCTCTTCCCCGGGGGCCTCTGTCCGTTCAGCAGTGTCAGTGGGATGTTGCAGTAGGTGTGCTGGTTCCCCAGGGAGGAGAGAGGTGGCAGGGTCCCTCCTGGGGGTAAGTCATACTCGTAGCTGCGGTAGTAGTGTTTCTGCCTCATCGTGGTGTGGTAGGTGTTGTGGAAAGTGGATCGCAGCTCGGGGTGGGCGGTCGCCATGGCCGTGGAGGTGGCCGCCGCCATGGAGATAGCAGAGACGGTCTGCAGCTCTCCAAAGGGGCCCTGCTCGCTGACGTCCAGCGCCGGCTCGTGGCTGAGCATGGGCTCTGTGCGCCTGAACGGCATCTCGTACTGCAGCTGCTTCCAGAACTTGGAGTTGAGCTTGTTGCTCTTGGGGCCGCGCCACTTGATGACGGTGAGGGTTTTGATGGTGTGTTTGAGGGCCTCCACCTCCTGGTAGTTCATGATGCCGCGCAGCTCAGCGCACTCGATCAGGATGACTTTTATCTCTCCGGTCGCCAGCATGTTGCGCAGCCGCGTCTCCAGCTCAAAGATGCTCCAGCCTCGCCGCACCACGTAGTTGGGCGTCATGACGATAATGAGGCGCTTGCTTTGGTCCACGCAGCGAGCCACGTCCTCTATGTAGGCTGCGGGAAAGAGGTGAGGAAGAAAAGGAACATGAATAAGAAATAAGAGCGGATAAATATTTGAATAACGTACATTCAGGATGTCTTTTAGCTTAAGATATGATTAAAAGAGGACAAGACCACAACACTTAACAATGATGGATGAAAATACAGCGTTAGACACAAACACAAGACATTGACAATCTACTGTCCAGTATTTGATCAAATAACAGTCTGAAGTTCATAGAGGAAGATGTAAGGACTACTGTATATGTGAATGCATACATACATACATACATACATACATACATACATACATACATACATACATACATACAGGACAGCAGATAGCTTACACACCTTCCGGCGCAGACTGAAAACTCATCTCTTTCGACTCCACTTCGAGCGATAGAACTATTAACAAAGCACTTATATACTAATAAAGGACTGGCTTATCTAAAGCTAGTTGAGTAGCACTTGAAATGTTTTTGCTCTATGAAGCCTGATGTACTTATTTGATTCTGTTTTCTTCAAGTTTGTATTTTGTTGGTCGAACGCACTTATTGTAAGTCGCTTTGGATAAAAGCGTCAGCGAAATGTAATGTAATGTAATACATATCTAAAAGCATGGTGTTTGTTTTGGTGCAATCTAAAGTATTATTCTAAGTATTGTAATATTACAATACTGAACTTTAAGCTAAGCTCTGCACTGAATATATATATTTCAGATCACACAACAGCGCCACTCTCTGAAACTTCCTGGGGGCAGGTCAATGACAGCGGCTGATACAAGAGGAAAAGACTGAAGGCGAGTACCTCCAAAGAGTCGTGTTTCATCCTGGTAATGCTCATGGGTGAGACCTAAACATAAACATTTGAACATTTAGGTCACAGGCAGAACACAGTACAGACACAGAAACATGCTCAACAAAGTTGTAAAAGTAGCTGCATCTCCTCTCGCTCGTCCTTCTTTACTTCACATATGATTAATCACATACCATGTTTCACTGATTGGACATTCATCTACAATGAGTTTGCTTGGCACTGATGCTAGCGGCAATTTTCTTTTGATTAAAGGAAAGAGGCCGACGGGGCTCAGAGCCTTCGCACATTTCCCACTGATGTTTAATTCTATCTGGACCAAGTGAGATGTGTTTGCGTTTTATTTGGTCCACATGAAGCCTACAGTACAACACACAGCATTACTACTAAGCAGAGCACACTGTGTACCACTGGCACAGACAGACTACTAAGCAGGGTTAGCACGCAAGAGGATATGTTCACACAGATTTATTCATGCATGGATAAACTAGTACGATGTTAAATTTGTTTAATATCTCAGCCACACGATATACAATATTCCCAAGTTTGGTGGATATAATATCAGAATAGCCAGTGTGAACAACTTTTATCCGCTACTTTAATCCAGAGGGGATACAAAAAAGATTCTTGTCCATAGTATTTAACTTAATATTGACCTTTTGTTCTTCTTTTTTTGGACATTTTGAATAATATGCCACTCATTACTTGCGCTAATGTAATTGAATCTGCACAAACAGTACAACACATTAAAACACAAGACAGAGACAGTGAGAAACAGAACAGAAGACACACGACAAACATGTATTGTAAACTAATGAAGTTAACTTATCCATTATCATGCCTTCTTACTCTACTTCCTGCCTCATCACTCACTTGCATCAATCTAAAAAGTTTGACTAAAGCTACACCAAAGATACAGCTCGGAGTGGGTCCTGAACTGCAGATCAATCCGTCCATTCAGGCATTGATCTGTTTGAGGGTGATTCAATTTCACACACACCAGACCTACCATTATTTATACCAAGTATTTGACAGCTGGACAAGAAGCCATCATTAACAGCATTGCTCCATACACTCTCTACTAGAATTGTTTCCAGGCATATCATAACACACACCAGCTGCCATTTCCTTCTGTCATGTCTATCTGCAATGTTATCACCTATGCTTATTCTATCCATAGCCAGTTTATCAGGAATCGGCCTTTAAAAAAAAAAGTATATCAAACTAGTAACAGGCAGCCATTATTCTGATACCTCCACCACATTTATTTCTCACAGCATAATTCATTTCTGACCTTCTCAGCCATCCATTCCCAATGTTTATGCTATTTATTCCCCAAGGTCGATTTAACTCAAGAACCCGTGTTCTAGCTGGATTATATTTCAGCTTCCTACAGGGATCTGGATCTAGCTACAATCTCTCTCTTTATGCCAGTCTATCTGACATCACTATTTATACTCATATTCACAAAAGTAAAATCTACTGTATGTCATAATCTACACTTTGCATCAAGACTCCTTCAGCCAATACTAGAATGATAGTCAATACAAAAAGTCGAGGTGACACCAAGACCTCACCTCACAAACTCTTTTTTTGCCGAAACATGGAAAATGGCTTTGAGATTTTGGTTTCTCAAGAATTTGAACTTAATCCAGTATTCCTTGCATATCTTCACAACTATTGGAGCCATGTGTTGTTTTCCGCATGCTCGTCATCTCAGGCAAATCACTCTCACATTTGCAACAATCTGAACCATCTTCATTAAGTTCTTAGCCTCGTTTAAATTAGATGACTCTTACACTACATGACACTATTACTGCCTTTGAAACGCCTTGACTTCATCCTATACAATCACCCTCTTTCCTTCTTCCTCACAATCATCTTCAACATCCTATACTTCCTAATTTTGTTAAATCTCATATTGTTGTGTCATGGTCCAAGCACCTGAATGATAAAGTGTACCAAATGTGCCACACACTGCAGCAGCTACAGTACACAATCAACTGTAAACTCCCTCACCATCCAATAGAATATGACACAAATACACATGTGTGCAGGCATGTAAACAGAGACAGTCGCAGCTCTTACTTCCTGTTGGAATGAGGTCTCGATCTGGGATGAAGAGTTTGTAGCCGTAATGTTTCTCCAGGACATCGGGGAGGATCTCCAGGGCGAAGCGCTCCTCCTCTCTGGTCTCCTGACTCCACTGGTCAGGGTCCACTTTGGTGTAGGACAGGTACGCATCGTAGTCTTTGTTTTCTGTATAAAAAAAAAACAGGAAGTGGATTATGAAAAAGGCGTTTTAAATACAGTGACATCCAGCTCCGAAATCACGATATTCCAGGACTCCTCGCGGCACAGTCGAAGACGTGTAATCACAAACTCTAGAGAGAGATACGCATGTGGAGACCTGAATATTATACCCTTATTTGATTGAAACTATCTCATTCATAATCCATGCAGGTGTTATAGCAATTTAATTTAGCTTTGACTCAAATTTCAAAGCAATTTCAATTAGAAAAAAACGTAACCCAATCATCTTCACAAATTAACTTTGGGCTTGAAATCTCATCTGCGTAGCACAATTTGAAGCCTGTATCAAATTAAATAATTCATCACTCATTTAGTTTATTAAAGCCACCGCTTGCTTTAATTACATTTGTTGAATTATAGACTATTATCAAGTAATCATTTTCAGATAATTCTGCCAGAAATTAAACTAACTCTTGTCAAGTATGACAGTATTTGATGGTAATTTCCTCAAAGATTATACTAAATTGTTCGATTTTAGCAGTACATCAGTATTCAAATCATTCATTGTTTTTATGAATATGTTGTAGTTCAGTACATTTGACATCTTCTACAGACTTACTTTACACTACAGTAAAAATGACTTTCATACAGGACAAAATAATGATTGTTGTTTTACTTAATTGCATTGGTTCCTCAAGTACTGTACTGAAGTTTTTTTTACTTTACTTAAGTATTTCCATTACATACTACTGTACCTATACTTCTACTCCAATTCATTCCACGACAGGGAATATTGCACTTTTTACTCCATTACATTTATTTAACACTCTTAACACTTACTAGTAACATGTATAATAAAAACACATGATATACTTCATTGATATGATGCAGTACTGTACTACTTTTAAACTCAATATTTTACAAAGTCTCTAAAATGTGCTCCACGGGGACACACTACGAGTTTAAAATACTCTTAATTGTGAAAAGTATAATATCCTACAATAATAACAGTCTGTGATAGAGCCATTGTCATGCTGAGTACTTTTACTTTTACAGTAAGGTAAACACTTTAATGTAATAGTGTTACCTGTAATGGAGTATTTTAAGAACATATTAGTGCTACTTTTACTAAAATGAAGAACTGACTACTTCTTCCCCTTTGATTGGTTCACATTGTCTGTCCTGCACTGAACACAAAGTTTATTTTCATGCAACACACCAAACCACTGATATTTTACTTTTCTATAAACTGCTGCTTTAACAATTCCCGACTCTTCAGAGGTCTTTCTCCAGACCATAGATTCAGGGATTTGCTCCCCTTTAGCCACAGGGGTGTTAGTGAAGTCGGCCACTGATGTTAGGCTCGTTGCAGTTCATTAGTTCACGTTCCAGTTCACCATTTCTCTCTGGATCTGACTTTCCTCGCGTTGAAACAGAAAAAAACACTTCTCCCAAATGCAGTTGCATCCTTATTTTGAAACATTGTGACCTACATAACAAAATCCAGCCGCACACTGACGGTACACAAGAGCATTAGTTCAGGGGTTGTCCATTTATCTTTGGCTATATGGCGAATATAGGAAACAAATTGGGGTAGATACAAGAATACCCAAATCAAGACGAAGGCAATATCATTTTCCCCACCTCGAAATGATTTCCCAGAAGACAGTGGCAAAGAACTGAACAGGCAGAAAATAGAAGATGGGGGGAAAAAACACTACTGGTGACATGTTCAGTGAGTCCTAGTCATTACGCTTTGCAGAAACAGGATTGTGGGCCAGCCAAAAAGGGAAGAGGGTTTTTTACAGAAACCCTTTGAGGAGCTTGCACAGCTTTGAAACTCTCTGGAAAGGCCAGGACTGCGCTCGATAGGATCCAAACATCAAACAACGCTTTCAAATGAGCAACCAGCCTCAAATTAACCACCTAGCAAACTTGGAAAATCAAAAACAGCTTGTATCTGCGGTTCCCTGACGGTATGACTTAATCATGTGGAAGTTTGAATCAACAAAACAGCGTGTAATAGATAATTCATGCTACTGTGGAAACAATACAATGATTCGAGTTTGGGTTCAGTCTTTCCAGAATTCTTGAAAAGAAAGCGACAAAGGAAAGCCAAAAGGGAAAAGGTCTGGGGCGCAAACAGAGGAATCGTTAACTGCAGCAAAAGTTAACTATGTTCTGGAGAGAAAACAGAAAGTTGCCCCGCAATTTCAGACTGTTTACGGCCCCATTTGTCTCTGAGGAAAGCAGCTTGGAGCCTGCCCGGTCCCCCCGTCCCGCTATCTGGCCTTCGACAGCAGAGGGTGGGCATCATCCCATGACATATTGAGACTGATCTCTTTTTAAATGGGCAACAAATTGAAAATCTGTCTCCTCTCTTATCCCTATGCAGCCATTGTGGCAACACACACACACACACACACACACACACACACACACACACACACACACACACACACACACACACACACACACACACACACACACCCACACACACACACACACACACACACACACACACACACACACACACACACACACACACACACACACACACACACACACACACACACACACACACACACACACACACACACACACACACACACACACACGTGTACCTCCACACCAACAGTTGAGGAAGAGGAAATGGGCTGCTGTCACTGAGATAGGAGACGACATTTGTATCTAGCCTGTTATGGAGAGAGGCTCTGACAGAACACACACACAACACACATTACATCTCATGCACATGGATAAACAAACAGGACATAATCACATCCATGGAAACAAACCCAAACAGGCACATACGCAATCATCTATGCACGCTTGACATCGAATTTGAGATAAGAGAAAGGCCTGGACATTTTGTTTTGCAGGTCTTCAGATAGAAACTGAGTTTATGTTGCCTTTCACTTTCTTTACCTCCATCAACATCCTCGCTGCCAAACTGCCTCCGATAGAAAAGCATCAGCTCGATCTTGTAGCATTTGTAGAGGGAGATGAGGAAGATGAGGAGCAGCAGGATCGCTCCCAGCCCTCCTGCCAGCTCCACCGTGTACATGAGCTCTGCTGAAGACACACAGACAAGAACATATTTAAAAACTGCTGAGACGGTGGAGGCACGGTGCGGTGAACACCGCTACGTCTTATGAATACACAAAAACAGGCTATTGCCTCGGCAGGTTAAACCCACAGACTCTTTATTCTTAATTTCCCTGTTAAAGACGCAACATAGGCACTTATGGGATGCATTTACATTTGATGAAAGGTTTGGCAATCAGTATTTTCAGAGCGAAGCAGCATCATTCTTCAAAGAGGGGGAAGAGACACACACGGCTCAGGATGACTTTGGGAAAAAAGATGAGTGCAGGGAGACGTGAAAAAGAGGATGATGAGAGATTGGGTTCATTTCTTTGGAGCAGCGACACAGCTCTGCACTTTGTCTGTCGTCCATTCTGTGACTTGAGACAATTGTGGACATGGATGAAGGCATGTTCAAAACAAAAGGCTCCACTTCTCTCTCTCCATCATACACACCCCCCTCCCCCTCTTTTCTCTCCACATTCATTTATCTTCTCGATTATCTCCTCTCTATCCCCTCAGAGGCCTGGCTCGGGGAAAGATGAGTTATGTTGTTTATGAAAGCAGCATTTACCTGGTTGGCCCAGCGAGAGCAGGTTCACCTTATATCTGTCACTGTGGACTGGAGCAATGCACGGCTGCCATGGCAACCGCTATGCAGCTTCTATATTATCTCAGATTATGTGCATTGCAAATGTACACAGGCGTACCTTCCCATTTCTCTGATTGACATAAGATATCTGCTCTAGTTCTCAATGCCAGCGTTTTATATCAGTGATTGTCTTTTTTGTACAAGCTAGTGATACCTAATTACTTTCAATATGATATCGCCTATTTAAAGAGAAAGGATAACATATTTGAGGCTATAAGGCATGGTGGTATGAAGAAAATCAAATATTACAACATTTTTTTTATCAAATACTTCAATATAAATATTTTGTACGATATTGTAGGTTTGAGAATTTATGCTAATTTTGATAAATAATCTTCGACAAGCAGATTTATTTGGCTATAAAGGCAAATAAAAATAAGACAAACTGGGATTTAAAAAAAATGTAATCACTTTACTTTAATGCAGCTTTTAAAATCAAAAAGATACTTATTTGATACTACCATATCTAAAATGTAATACCATATCTAGTCTCATATGACAACATCAATATTATATTGCAATATTGCCCAGACCTACTGTAGTTGTCTCACCCCAAGCTTACACCTAAAAGATTGATTGTATATTTTTTAATTCTAACTACATTCTAAGTTCAATTTAAGGCGCAATGTTGCATTCATAACACCACTATCAGCTCTGTGCAATAAATATGAAACAACAGCCAGAAATGTAGCTTAGCTATCTTAGCTTTAAGACTGGAGATGTGGGGACAGCTAGGCTCTGTCATAGGGCAACAATTCAGCCTACCAGCACATTTAAAGTTCACTTATTTAAAAGTTAGGATTTCTTCTGTGCCCCAACCAAGGGGTACAAATGTCACAATATGGATTTATTTGGGGTGACATGCCTCGCTATGACTTCCTGGATTCTTAGGAGTCGAGTCCTGTGAGAAGTTACATGTTCCTGCCTTTATGCAAAGCAACGCTTGCTGGTTGCTATAGCTTCATTCCATTTGACCATGAAGATATTAGAGTGGTATCCATGTTCTTATCCAGCTTATCCAAGAGCATCTCTGAAATGTCATATAGTCCTAATATCCTACAATATATCATGAATACATTTGGCTTTGTAAAATGTACTTTTGGACCTTCCCTCATATTTTAAACGTTTTTAACTAGTTGTAGATGTTCCACTGACTGCTACGTTCCTCTGCCTTTTTATTTCTCGTACTCTTCAGATATGAAAGTGAAGGTAGCCCTGCAGCACAGACATTCACAAACCTGCTGCAGGGCTTATGACTGATGCATTCTGGGAGGGGAAACATGAAATCAACATCAGAATAACGTGTGAGACAGAGAGAAAGTCTTTCTTAGCATTCCTCTCCTTGCCGCTTTGAAAGAGAGTTAAATGAAGCTGTCTGGAGTCTACAAAGACACTCAAAAGGAATTGGGCCATCTACAAAAGACGGTCGGAGAGACAGAAATTAAAGCGGGGAGATAGACAGATAAAGACTTAAAATGTAATTGTATGCTGAACTTATTGGCCTGCTGGGAAAAGCCGAGGACCAATTTGCTGTTTAAACAGCCATCAAATTACCTCTCCTTGCAGGGTGACAACCAGTGCATGAAAAGAGCTTCAGACAAGTCATGCTAGAGAGCCAGAAACGCTACGCAGCTGCTGGAGCTCATGTAGGAAGGAACGGAGCGACCAAATGAGGGATGAAGAGATACAAAATGGACAGCAAAAACGAAGCCTGTGTGAAGATGTCAGTGAGGAGTTTGGGTTGTGAAGTGAATGTCTTCTTTGTCTTAAAACAGGACATTTTAAAGATGTCCCTTGGACTTTGAGTAACTGGGATGAACATTCTTCACTGTATTCTGACTTTTTATTGACTAGTTGGCGATACAAATCATAATCAACATTACATTACACTTACGCTTTTATCCAAAGCGACTTACATACTCAGTACTGTGGGCAATCCCCACAGGAGCAATTTGGGGTGAAGTGTCTTGCCCAGGGACACAACGACATGCTGACTGCAGTGGGGTTTGAACCTGTGACCCCCTGATCCCAACACCAACGCACAACCCACTGCGCCACACGCCTCCCCTCAACACCAGCTCTACTTTAAATTGAGCGATCTTGAAACTGAAAAGTTGTTTAACAATGAGCTGAAATATGTTAAAGTGGTTTGTAGGGCGGAGGAACACTGCAGTCGGGTGATCATTCTCTGTGGTAGTGTTGCTGCAGTTGACAGATTCCACATTACACATACTAGTCATTATCGCTATACAATGTTGATTAAAGCATCTTTATACTCAATTAAGCAGCAACTGCTAATCAGCCAACATTTGTTCACAGTCTTTTGTAAGATTAGTGGATCAGTCTAGGGACTTGGCTTGGGAACTGAAGGGTTGCCAGTTGAAAACCATGCCTCTACGCCAGAGTTCCCGTTAGCCGGTAATTACCGGACTACGACCGGTAAAATATGCTGAAGACCGGCAAATCTAAATATCTCCGGTCAAAGTGTCCGTTCAATTTTTTTTCCGTTTAGCGCAATACCACATCAGTTGCCCAATTTGCACCATTTATGTGACAGACAAAAGAGTATGTGACAGACAAGAATAGTCAATTATAATGTCTAACCATGTGGAGAAAGAGATGTCCTGTATGGGTTGATTGAGCGTTGATCTGTTGGTAATGCCTCGGGGTTCCGGTGGGCATGTAAACAAATGCATAATGCTGCGCTATACTATGGCCTCACCCGGTTGCATAGCGACACTTATTGTTTAGGTGTCTTTTAATAAGCAGGTAGTCATATCATTAGCTAGAACTAGCTGGATCTGATCGATATGGACATAAACGCGAGTGAAGTCTAATCTGACGGGAGAGAGAGATCAGCTGCTGCTGACGAGTCGACACGCAGCTCTGCATGATCAGCGGTGAGCGGACAAAACACACACTTCAGGTTAGAATATCAGGTAGCTATTTTAATGACCTCTCAAACTACCGTAACTAGTTATAGATATGTTTAGTTTTACTGTCGGGTCACTCATTACTGATCCGCGAGCTGCATGATACTGACGGGCTGTCAGGAGAGGGAGAGAGCGCTCCGTTTATTATTCCCGTGTTATTGTAAATTACTGTTCACTTTTGAATAATGTAGTTAATCTACTATAATTAGTTTAATATTGAATCATATCAATTTGTTTTAAAGCTCAATAAATAACAAAGACCTTTGACCGGCACTTTTCTAATTTTGTCCGGAAGATTTAAACTTTAACGGACATGTTGACCGGCGAAGAAATATTCTAACTCTACGCACTGACACTCCTCCATTAAATGCATCTGTTTGTGCATATCTGTTTTCATATGCATGTGTTTTTTGAAAAAGTGAAAGAAGTGAAAAGCTGAATTTCCCCTTGGGGATTAATAAAGGTTCATTTGCTTCTTAGTGGGTATCCTAGAGCTACCAAATATATCAGGCTGATATTTGGGTATATGTGGAACAAATATATTCATAAGACTAGAATATTCCCATTTTGATGAAATGTTGCTGGCAGGCTTTGCATACTTCACTCATCATAAAGCTTTAATGAAGAGTTGGAACGAGCTGATACAGAATATCTATGATAGTGTCAGACAGTGAAGGAACAAGATGAGTTTTTAAACCTTTAAGCCACTCACAGGGAAATTAATGTGTACATATGGAGGTTAAAGCTCCTCCTTACCTCGTCTGAAGAGCTGGATGGTAGCTTGGCGACGGCCGTTACCATTCTCCACAAAACAGGAATAATTTCCCAGGTCCTCCTCCTCCAATGAGTCAATAGTCAAGGATATGGACACTTCCTGCTCTCCAAGATGCTCCTTGACAACCCTGCAAGATAAACCATCAACACTTACAAGGCAGCAACGCTTCTCTGAAGGACTATGTTGGGAAACAGGAGACGAGAAGTGGCTGTTGAGACAATGTTCTCTGAATATACAAGAACATATAATCAGTGCGAGAGTGAACATGTTAAACCAGTGGCGAGCCGTCAGGGCCCTCTGTGAGGGCCTAAGATATTCTACAAAATAATATTTAAAAACATTAAAAAAATATATTAATTTTTTTAATATATTTTTTTAGTTATATTTTTCATTAGTTTTACCAAAATAACTTGATTTAATTGTATTTAAAATAACATTTCCAAAGAAATAAATCCTTCGAATCTGCCTATTCAGTTTCTGTTGGAATGTGAAGGGTTAAATGAAAGAAGCTCGTCTCTGCGAGTTACTGTGAAGAGAGGAGCTGTTGGACGTCCAGGCGGTCCAGCTATGAATTCACAGAGGGCCCGCTATAGTAACAGAACGAGAGAGTAATGTCAAATGACAGTACAATTGACCAATCATATCTTCCCTCTAAATGGGTGGGTGTTATTATCGCGGACGTTATGACAAGTTCCGCCTGCTGTGAAACTTTTATTGTTTCCATAACAACAACAACTTCCTGTCAATAGCGTTAACTCGCCTTCAAAATAAAAGCATGCCAAATTACACTTAAGACATACAACTGCAACGAAAGTAACAAACACAATGCAATATCCTTTTCAATTTCAAAGAACACAAATAGGGTTATTTACAGGTGTTGTTTTGTGTGGTAGAGGGTCGCTTTCATTGAGGCGTTTTGCACCCCGGGCCGTTGTTTTGATATTCCGCTGAAGTATACACTGTGACGTAATAACTCGAGGGAAGGGGTGGGGGTCAGAGGGCCTAGGTATACAAGTCACGGCTCGCCACTGTGTTAAACAGTATGTGTGTGACGGGGCCTGAAGAGTAGAGAACCAGAGCAGCAATCACAGAACATATTCAGCCGTGATGGTCGAGCCATAAAACGGCTATGAGCAGCACATTTCTGTATCTCCATGAACCCCCCCCCCCTTACAGTAAGTACTTCAAGGTATGTTCATTTCTTCTCTCTGCTCTCATAACATATGAGAAATGAAAATCAATAAGGGCTCTTCCAACGGAGAATGCGGGGGGTTGAAATCAAATAATGGCGATCAGAAGAAAATCTTTTTATAGCGGCTGCCATGGTAACGGCGAGAAGGAGAGAAAGTAATATTCCATAAAGTAAATGAGTGTCCCCCCCGTTGGGCTGGTTGAGCCTGATGGAGGAGAGAATTGGGAGATAATGCTTCCTCATACCTTAGACGCACTACTTAGCCCACTTCTGCAGCACCCTCAGCACAAATTACACTTTGGAGGAAACAAAAGATCTCCACTGTTTGTATGTATGTGTGTGTGTGTGTGTGTGCAGGTATCATCTATGGTATTTTAATAACGGCTGTGATTAGAAGCAGGAGTGGGATGAGAAAAGTGTGTGTTTGAGTGTGTAGGGGTTTAATGACTCTCAAGCTTCTCTCGCCTTCGAGTCGATAAACCACACATACGGACAGCTTGTTGGGAAGATTTGGCATCAGTAATTGAAAGTGTATCCTGGGCTTTGCGTGGAGAGGCTGATGATATATTTGTAGTTTCAGCTGAGTTTGTTGTGCAATGGGGTTGGTTGGCGGGGGGATGTAGGCACGGGAATAATTCATGTCTCTCCAGGGAGTGGTGGGTACTTTGAAGCCTCCAGTTTCACATTATCCCACTGGATGAGGCAACGCAGCTCTCTGCCATACAACCTGATGGATAATGACCACGGCTGTTCACACCTGAGCCTCAGAACGAGGGGCTAAAGTTAGAGGAGGTGGATAACAAGGTCCAGGTGAAGCACAGACACATATGGGAGCTGAACGATCCCACACAATACACACAGTTGGGCTGAAGAGGGAATTTTAACTATGCTGTGTATCGCCGTGAGATGTTCCATCCATGCAATTCTTTGTAAAACAAAATACTTTCTTCAGGGTGATTGAGTTTATCGATATGGAGTTAGTCGAATGAGTGAACCGCTGCAGGCATTTTATTCTTCTCAATATTCTCTCTCCCTTCCTCATGAGCAGAACCTCAGTCTTTGCAACGTATTCAATCCTTGTGTACAGTAAACTGAACGCACACCTGCAAAACAACAACTGAATCGGGTCAATAACATAATTATTGACCACCCTTTATTTTTATTTTGCTGAGCCAGATTTGTTTTGCTAATTTATTCATCTCTGCATGCTATGCTAATGTCCAGTCATCCGTGCTTTGATAACAACAATAGCCCTGTCCTGGTGGCACAAATGAGAATGTATGGGCTCGGGCTACCATTGCAATGAACTCCACTGAATCAATATGCTCAGGGTTGGGTTAATAAATGCATGCAGAGACTCTGAACCTAAGGTATGGATGCTCGTCTGTGAGCTTGAGTTTGGCTGCTGATACATTAGTAATATAGCTAAAAGTGTGTGAAGGAGAGCGGTAACATGCCTACTGTAACATTTAAAAGAGGCACTGCAGGGTAGCAGACATTTGTTCATGTTTAGTTTCTCCTTCCCTTTCTCACCTGTCTTTTCCTGCTCCATATGTCTGGCTGTCTTTGTGGAAATAAAACCCCATTGCACCGGCTGTATGTGAAGAAGCTTAGGGTGGCAGCATCAGCAACAGAGAGCGGATGATCAAATACATTATTGATCCGCTGCATGAAATATCGGTATGAATTATTGAGAGATAACCCCTCGGCTGGTGAGTGGGGGAATCCTGTTGTCAGGTAGTAGTGGAGGCAGGCAGAGGCAGAGGACAGGAGAGCTGCACTCCTTTCTGTTGCATTCTTATATTAATGCATAAGCAAACTCACTATCACAGATGTGTCATCTTTACTTTCCTCCTACAGTAAGTGACTTCAACCATATTTCTTACGATATCCAATTTTATTCCGTCTGCTCTCCCTCCGCTCCCCTCCTACTCCCTGTGGCTCATCTGCATGCCGCTATAGGTGGATGCAGCGAGGGAGATAGCGACAGTGGCGGCGGTGTGAAAAATGGCGGTTGTTAACCATCTGACAGGGCTGTCTCCCCAGAGCTGCAGCCTTTCCAAACAGCCCTAATGGGAAACACGCACATGGACCGGAGAATGGACTTGTTTAAATGTGTTACACCACTAGGAGGGAGGAACATGGAAATGGGCTTGTTTTAAATATCTTACGGCTGTGAAAGTGAGGCTTGCTCTGCATATTTTACAATGTTACATCGAAAGGAGACAGCAAGAGAGGGCACGTTAGAGAAGCTGCTCTTTTAAGACAAGCTTAACATTTAGCGCATTAATCCTTTCAAAATGTTAGAAAACACTATGTGTGCACAAGCTGGACTTGTACAATATTGTGGTGAGTAGAAAAAAGTGAGGATGCATCCTGTTCTGCAGCGGATAAACATCTTCTCCCGCTTATCCGTGGTCGGGTCGCGGGGGTAGCAGTTCCAGCAGAGAGCCCCAAACTTTCTTTTCCCTGGCGACATCAACCAGCTCTGACTGGGGGATCCCAAGGCGCTCCCAGGCCAGCGAAGAGATATAATCCCTCCACCTGGTCCTAGGTCTACCCCTTGGTCTCTTCCCAGCTGGACGTGCCTGGAACACCTCCCTAGGGAGGCGCCCAGGTGGCATCCTAACTAGGTGCCCGAACCACCTCAACTGGCTCCTTTCGACGCGAAGGAGGAGCGGCTCAACTCCGAGTCCCTCCCTGATGACCGAACTTCTCACCTTATCCCTAAGGGAGACACCAGCCACCCTGCGGAGAAAACCCATCTCGGCCGCTTGTATCCGCGATCTCGTTCTCTCGTTCTCGTTCTTAAACAATCTTGCCATGGAAATTAATTGTTGGACAATTGGTTCAATTTCAATTTGAGAAATATACAATAGAATTGACATGGATACTTCCCAGATTGACTGTAACAAGTCCAGATGCCCTTCTCTTTTTTAGTGGAAAGTTAACTCTGCAATACTGGGAGACAAGCAACTTCAAAACTGGCAAGACAATGTCTAACTGAATGTCATATTGATGACTTTCTTTATTACATGTTTTTAAATATTTAATAAGATGAATTATTGATTTAACTAACAATTGAATACAATATTATTTTTTTAACAAATTGAATGCATAATAAAATATAATTTTATTTGGAAAATCGTGAGAGAGCCACACCATCAGCTATGACAGAACATAAATCAAATAAAGCCAATAACTTAAAATGACAGAACTATATCTGCTACCATTCAACAGTGACTTGAAACTAGCGTGCGTTAAATAATCCATCATAACACACAATTCACCACCTGCATTCATTGTCATATTACTGTCAGAACTTGTGATGCAGCTGCAAACAAGGACTGGTCTCTTTGTTTTCGCACAGAAGGACGCTCAAACGACCCTGAATCGAGTCAGCTGCAGAACAATACACTTTATAATGAAAGAAAAAATAAAGGCTTTCTTTTCTCAATGTACAGGTTTGCAGGTTTTCTTTGGTCTCATGGCTTGAATTTAGACAGCATAGCTGGTAAATGCATTGAGGCATGGGACAAATAATCAATATTAAACTGCAGTACAATAGCCTTGGTGCCAAAACTGAAGTATGTTGTAATGATAACCATTCATTGTTTTGTGTCACGGAAATGTTTGAGATAAAAGCACTTTAAACAGCACTTAATAAATAGTATTACTTCTGTTGCTGAAATATGAGTTTCCCATGTCAGGGATGTGTGTTATAATGTGTTATCTATGTATATTAGAGGATAAACCTGCTTTGTGCATGATGTAAGCAGTTCCATTGTTACTGAGCACAATATGGCATATTATAAGTTATCCTGTTTTCAATTGCTTGCTATTGCATTTCCACGACAACATCATTTAATCAAATATAATAAAAAGTGTCAGAAATGAAGGAATAATAATAATTCAAACAAGCTTTAAGTACCTGCACGATTGTACAACAGCTAAACAAATGGAAGCCAGCGGGTGCTTAGTAGGCAGCACATCAATCTCTGGAAAATGGTTGGTTTAGTGTACGCAATTTGGAGTTAATGGACTAAAACATGCAAAACCATTGGTATCCTGTTTTAATATTTTCCAGTGAATGTCACTACATCTGCTATTAATTCCTCATTAGCGTCATGTCATGTGAAATCAATTCCAGCTCACTTGCTGTCGCTTTCCTGGATCCTCTCTTCGTCCAAGTCCTCTATAAACTTCTCTCCCTTCATCCAGTAGATGAGCGGGCTGACGTCCCCGCTGTAGCCGAAAAACGCCCGGCAGGTCAGGTTCAGAGCATTTCCTGCGAAGACAAGGAGATGATAGGCTGTCATGCTTGATGGCTTTTTAAAAAGGGGTGTGTTTCATGCGTACGAACCAAAAAAGATTGAACCATATCATATCTGCACCTTCAAAGTGAGAGACATCAACAGAGACATTCTGTTGGTGAAATGTGGCATTCACAATCCTTTGTAATGTGTGTATCAATCACATTTATAGCTCTCTCTCACACACACACACACACACACACACACACACACACACACACACACACACACACACACACACACACACACACACACACACACACACACACACACACACACACACACACACACACACACACACACACACACACACACACACACACACACGTAAATATCCTTGCAAAAACCATGGGGACTGTGCAGCTGTGATTAGAACAAGATGTCTTGTATTCAACAAGTCAAGAACAACTTGAAATGTTTTGATTTGCTCACGTCACTAGTACACAAACACAGTAAGGTATACTAATCTGAAAGTAAACATTAATGAACACACGAGGGCACTCAAGAGCTTCCCAACCCTCCTCCATGCACTCTGTGTGCATCAGAGGAAAGAAAGCAAAAATAAGTGAGAGGAGGCTGAGAATAATGTTATTTTATTTAGAGCTGCTGCTGAGTATGAAGAAAGGTCAGGAGTCAACAACTGCAGTTTGCTGAGAGATGATATGTGGAAATGATTGTTACTGGGAAAAAAGACAGGGCCTTCTTCTGTAAATTGATGGATTATCTGTTGGGTTCAACAGGGAGGGCAAGCATCCAGATGGAAGAAAGAGACACCTTATGCCCCAAATCCAGAAAAGTTTCTCTTTACTTTTTATGGTTTGAGACATATTGTGCTCACTTTCAGGTTCCTATCAGTATGTATTGCCTCTACTGTGACATGTCTCCACGCTTTAATGTTCAAAAAGCTCTTTATTTTTCTCATACTGCCTGTGCTGCAGCACCTCTTTTCACCCTCTGTCTGAAACCAGAGCCCAGTCTGCTCTGATTGGTTAGCTGGACGGCTTTTTTGTGATTAGTCAACAAACAGTTTTATGATGTTTGGCCCCTTAACCTATCGTGTACTGTACAATGTGTTGGATCGCTAGGCAATAGAAGCACAAGTGTTACGTAGTGATGTCACTATGTTACAGAAGTAAACAAAGTAGTCCAATGGAGGCGTTTCCGGCAGGGGGGAGAGAAACTCCCACTGGAGGAAACTTTAGGATTTGAGCTTTTGCAGACCATTGACAAAAAAACCTATATAACAAGAAAGGCCAAACCCCGAAAAGCACAACAAGGCCTCTATAAAGGAAATGAATGAGCTGGTGGTAATGTGGTATGTAACACTGATGGGAGCTGATTACAGGTTGCATAGAGACACGACCTTCAGTGTCCATGAACTCTGCATGTATTAGGCTGCTTAGCGTTTTGCTTTGCATTCCTCTGAAGTGGAATTCTCAGAAGGCCTGCGGTGCAGCAATCACATGCGGCTGCCTCTCAGGGCACCGCACATCAACATGTAAACAACGCACACATGAGGGAGGCTCATCATGCAGCACTCTCCTCTGGGGAGCTGACGCTGTGTCTGGCTGCGAGGCATGTGATTGGAGTAAACACCGGGAGCAAAGGCATGGCAGGGATGGAGGTGAAGGAGATGCTTTTCCCTGTTTCACAGCAGGATTTATGTACAGGAGTGCAAAGTAAACGCTACTGGTATGGGGCATGTATTCATTAATCCTTCTTAGCATGTGACAGCGCCATGGACAGCTCCCCACAGTCTACTGCAGGGGATACAAGGCAATTTACAGCCCCTAAATATACCTATGTTTGAGTCAAATCCTCTCTAATATTGTCATGACAAGTATTCATTGCAAGACTGTTCTATTGCATTGAACATTTCCTTTTGAAGATGATGTTGAGCCTTATTCACCTCCCAGAACTCCTTTCTCTCAGATGCTCTAGCTGTGACCAGTGGACATATGTATCAGAGCAAAACAGGCACGCTTCTTTGTTGTATTTGTTTGAACTAAGGGCATGCATCTTCTGTGCTCCATCTGCCCAACCCAACAGCTTCAAAAGATTTCAGTAGGTCACTCGCCGCACAAGGAAAGTTTTAAGGCGTGCAGCAAAGGAGGATGCACAGGAATGCACCGACGCCATTGTCTTCAAGAGCAGTGGCTGACATTTTCAAAGTTCAACAGCCACTCTCTGCTTGGTATTTGTGCACAGCCGCGCTCAACAAAGGCTACACTCGGTACCTACAAAATAGTAACCTCCTGCGTGTGATTACACACATACAAAGGTTAAGGGGCAGCGGTATTCAACTGCAAAGTCACACTTAATCATATGTGTAGCGGACATTACAAATAACTACACTGTGCAAAGTACATATTGTACATCTGCGTGTCTCTTTGTGTGAGATTGATTCAGCATTTCCCTTTTTGATCTGTTTGTAAATCCCATCATGCTGTTAGTTTACCCCACAGATCAATTGCAAACTAAGAATGTCATGCTGTCGGGAGCCGCTGCATGCAGAGGAAGTCTCCACTGAGCTCCCTGGGAATCACAGGAAATTGTTGAAGGACTCATGCTGTTTTATTCTAATCCAAGTGCAGCACTCCCCCAAACTCACTCACAGCCACTTTTCTTACTTTTTCTACAAACACCAGTGGGCTTGATTCACCTGCATTATCACCATCATGGTCACGGATTCAGTATGAAAGCTGGTTACAAGACTGTTGCCATCATTTGAAAAAATGTGTCTCCCCTAAAAGGATTAGTTAAACTAGAGTGGCACACACATATTTATTTTCTTATTTTAAGCACAAAACGAACACATTACAACGCAAGAATGGCCATTTTTACACACAGGTGAGGCTCAAACACTTTGTTTTATAATAGGTTTACTGTTTATCAACTACCGTGCAAGTCATTTTAGATTTGTAGCTCTGATAAGATAATCTAATAAGATTTACAAGTATTATTTTTAACACAGAGGTGCATTAGTAGCCGTTTTGGAGATTTCTTTCACATAAAACAATCTTCATCATCAAATGGAGTTTACTCTTGTCATTGATCTGTAGATGTTTAAATATCTATTTCTCTAAGCCCTCTACAGACTTAAGCGTTGGCTCAAATGTTAAGATTGAAATCCTATTCTTGGAATAAAGCGATGAAGAATGAAGGAGATTTCCAACCAACATACTGTAGACAAGGGGTCTTTAATAGAGAAAGTTACTGTTACATTGAAGAAGAAGAAGAAGATTCAACTTATTGTCACTACGTAGTACAGGTACTATGTAACGAAACGGTTTTCGGCTCCAGAGTAACTACAAATAAACCTTGATTTAAAGTTGTTTTGCCAAACTGCAAGTTACCAGGGCCAAATTCTTCCTTTCCACTGTTCACATAACAAATACCAAGTAATTCAAGATGTTTTGTCAGGGTTAACAGAAATAAAATAAAATGTGCAGCAAGGCTGAATTTATTATTCATGGTTTCCACGGTCACCACGTCATCCGCCTACACTAAACATTTGTACAGCTCTATGAACATCCTTTCTTTTTATTACTCCAAAAACATTCAATTTGAATAACACAGAGGTAATTTACAAAGGCCCTATTATATACCCCCCCAACACATTGTACGTGATTTGCTAAGGGGCGGGACATCTCTAAGCAGTTGACCAATCACAACAGAGCCGGCCGAATAACCAATCAGAGCAGACGGGGCTCTGGTTTCAGACAGTGCAGCACAGGCAGTATGAGAACAATAAAGACCTTGTTGAACATTTCGGCATGGAAGCATTTCACAGTAGAGACACAGAATACTAATATGAACCTGAAAATGAGCATATGATGTCCTCTTTAATGTAATACCTATACATTATATACATCATGCGTCTACAGCTCCAGTTTAAGTTGACGAGGAGGAAGGGTTAAAATGTGTTTGCAATGCTGTTCACAAAAAGAGGACAAATATTAGCCCTGATTAATATCTGGCATGGCTCTGTCATTAGCCTCTGAGCCAGCAAACAACTAGGATGTCAAGCCACTTGAAGTTTGAGCAGATGGTGGGAAGACTATTAACCAGGACTGAAACAATGAGGTGAATCATTTGCACACTATCAAGTTAAAGAGGAGGAGAAGCAGCTTTTTAAATCTGTTCTCTCCTGCTGTCAAACCCACCAGCAGTGTCGTTATTATGATCCATTATTATGCCAGAGCAGATTGTAACCCTTGGTATATCACAAGAAGGGTGTGTGTTGACTTTAACTGATCTTGAGGGTTAATTATTACCAAGATGTTATTATTTCTAAATGGGTATGGGCACACAGACAGACCCCAGACCAGGCTGCAATCAGTGCTAATGATGTGAACGTGTGTGTGTGCATCCATGACCACCTTGGGCACCATAAAAGAAGAAACACATACACCTTTAAAAACCTGGGTGATTAAAGGGCTTACCAATTAATTTAGAAAAAAAGTACGTTTCACATAAGAGGATGACGGAGGTAGAGGAAAGTTAAATTATGACCCCGGGCTTCGGAGAGGCTTTTAAGAGAACAAAAACCAAAAGAGAAAGATGTGCTCCAGCATTATATTCACATAAGAGTGAGGCTTGCTTCACCCTGTTAGGATCACTTATGTTGGAGGCTGCAGTAATAGTTACATGTTTTCATAAAATGTAATAGTACAATTCTTTAATTTGCTAGCTACTCTAAAATAATGGGAACATTACAAGTTTCTTGGCTTTTTTCTTCTAAACAGTAGTTATTTTCTGAACGCATCATCCTCTTGACAAGCCTACAGTATATCCACCAAAAAGGGCCAGGTGAAAACTCAAATAACACTTTCTGTAGTCAGCACAATACTCCATGAAACAACAACACAACTAAATGTCAAACTGTTTATAAAACACCCTTTACAGTCACTGTGATGTTTCCAGTGCGAATGCTACACTCGCTGCGTCCAAAAGTAATTCAACCATTTAATCT